GAAGAATATCATATTTTTTGTGATCATGCACGCCTGTGCTGCATAAACAAAAATGATTTACCTTTACAGGTTGCAGCATAGTTGTGAGTATCTGAAGCTCCTGCTGATATTCTCGGAGGACTCAGATCCTTCTCAGTTGCCCCATCCTATTAAAATGATGGTTTTAGCTCGTCTGTGTTTCTGCATTTGTTGTGTTTCTGTTTATTGAAAAGCATTCATCGTGTCTCCTATGGGAATAATCTCTTGGTTAAATTTCTCATCTTCAGTATTTTTCTTTTTGTTAATTTATCCCTTATCAAACATTTCCTAAAACCTTTTTTGAAGTATGCCATACAATCAGAAAAGTGTACACATCATAAATGAATATGTTAATAAATTTCACAAATTTAACACACCCACGAAAGCTGCAACCAGGTGAAGAAAATAATATCACTACATCCAGTCAGGACCGAAAAGGCTAATTCCCTCACCTGATTTCTAATACCATAAATCCTGGCACCACTTTTTGAATTTTATATACATGGAATTATATCGTAGGTACTCCTTTGCATCTGGCTTCTTCTAATCTACGTTATTTTTTATGACGTTTATTCATTTTTTGTATGACTGTAGTTTATTCATTCTCAGTGTTGCATAGTGTTACATTGGGGAGTATGCCACAATTTATTTGAATATTCTCGTGTAGATGATCATTGGCGGAGTTTCCCATTTTGGGCTCTTATGAATAATGCTGAGATGAACATTCTTGTACATATATGTTTTTTGAGGCTTATATGCAAACATTTTTGTGGATATACACCCAGGAGTGGAATTGCTAGTAATAGACCATGCAGATACTTAGTTTAATAGTTATTGCCAAACTGTTTTCAAAATTGGCCGTTTCAATTTATACTCCCACTCACAGTATCTGAGAGTTCTTGTTCTTTATACCCTTTTCCACAATTAGTATTTTCTGCCTCTTTTTCCATCCTGGTGGGTATACAGTGATGGCATATGGTAGTTAATTCTGATGACTAACGAAGCTAACACTTTTTCACATGTTTATTGGCCATTTAGATGCCTTATTTTTGATGTACCTATTCAAGACTTTCATTCATTTTTTTTTTCTATGGGATTGTCTAACATTTTTCTAACTGGGAAGCTTTGAAGGAAGACTCGTTATTTGACATTGGAAATAATCAAGTAAAATTCATAACGAAAATATTTAAGTTTAAATATGGTGTATGTTATAGTTTACAATGCATGGTTAGAGAAATTTTATACTGTTGAGTGTGACCAGGCCATAAAAATGGTTCGGTTCTTAAATATTATTAAATTTCATCTTCATAAACTAGATAAATCATTCAAGTTAATAATGACTCAGCCTCTTTCTTTTTTGACTAGGTTTCAGAAACAATTAACCAATAAGAGAAAAGAAGTGCTTCCAATAAGACAGGGAGAGATAGAATAAATTTGTTCCTGATGGTCAAATTCCTGGAAGGGAACAATATCATAGCTTTAAACAAACACTGGCTGCTGTGATGGCTGAAGCACCCATCCTGTGCAGATTACATTCTCAGATTGAACTAGACTCTTTTGGCAATTCCAAGAAGAAGACAAAGGTGATTATATACATAGTCAAGTCCTGTTTCAGTGTCATGAACATCAGTCCTGCCATCAGCTACGTCCATCCTGAGAGTGTCCTGCTCAAGTGGGGAGAATAAGTACTACAGGTGGTTCCTTCCTTATCTATTACAACCAGTAAACAGGGCACTTTTTTTTCCTTTTTAACGTTTGCTGTTGCAAGCTTATTTGGTCCATAAGTATTTGTGGAATAGAGTAGATTAAAATAGGCTAGGCTTAATTTTTCTAACTTAATAGCCTTCTGTGATATATGAGTTTTATCAGGCTTTTGAATAGCAATGAAGTTATAATTATACTGGGTTGTGCTTTCTCATTTTGTCTTCCTCAA